CTGGTAGACACAGGTTAGTAAAACACACACACCAAAAGCTGGTAGACACAGGTAAGTAAAACACACACATCAGCAGCTGGTAGACACAGGTTAGTAAAACACACACACCAAAAGCTGGTAGACACAGGTTAGTAAAACACACACACCAAAAGCTGGTAGACACAGGTAAGTAAAACACACACATCAGCAGCTGGTAGACACAGGTTAGCAAAACACACACACCAACAGCTGGTAGTCACAGGCTAGTAAAACACACACACCAACAGCTGGTAGTCACAGGTTAGTAAAACACACACACCAACAGCTGGTAGTCACAGGTTAGTAAAACACACACACCAAAAGCTGGTAGGCACAGGTTAGTAAAACAGACACACACACACACACACACACACACACACACACACACACACAGCAGCTGGTAGACACAGGTTAGTAAAACAGACACTCCAGCAGTTGGTAGACATATTGCAGACTGTGAGATCCTACAAACTGTATTGATGTTTCCTGCCAGATTGTTGCGTGGAACCAAATAATAACCACGCGAGTGTTGCCCTTCTGTAGATAACGTCTCCAAATAGATGATTGTGTTTCGATGTACATTAATATGTCTGGTTAAACTTCATTTTACGATATTCCTGTTTGCAAAATACCCACGGCGCGTCGACGTTGATTTTCAGCAAGCTGTGGCATTATTTAAACGATATTTTCGGTGAAACAGAAGTGTTTTTATGAGCACCTGAGGGCTAAAGAAATACGTGCCGTATGACTGCCACAAACCAGTTAATGTACGTGCTAATGCTAGTCATCTGCTTGTTCATTGTGTCTAAATCGACCTGTCCATGTCGATTTACATTTTGGTTGAAAGATATTCCTCATCAATGGTAGAGGGTGAAAAGGAACAGCCATGTGTCGTGTGAGCGGATTTGCTATGGGAAATGGTAGAGTGGAGAATTATTTCACCTTCATGACAGATTATTCATTCGCTGCACGTTCAATTAGCACGGATTGTAGATTCCTTCATATTCAATGGGTTTCATTCCTGTGTGAGATTACACAGTTCATTTATGGTGCCCTTAAACGAGTAAACGTTGGGGTTGTTGTCATCAACAGGTCTATCCTCATCGTAATGGGAAGAGGCATTATTATTCAAGATATTCCCCCCTAGGCAGCCTGCGCTGGGTTGAGCCATGATCACTCGGAGGTGTTCTGTTCCTGCCTGCCGACTTGGAGCTCGGCTTGGGGATCCCCTCGGCTTGTGCTGCTACGATCAGGGTAACGGTAACAAAACGGAGAATGTGAGTCGTCGAAGCTGCATGACTGGCCATGGCTGTCTCATGTTACGTTGAGTGAAGGGACATGACTCCTAGTCCTTGCACTAGCAGCATAGGATTCCTAATGTAGTCTCAAGGTATCAGACTGTTACATCTTGGACGTACTATGTCAATTTCCATCTGCAGAGCACAAGTTTTCCCTCAAGATACGTAGACTGAAAGTGAGGTATGAGCATCGGAATCCTTCTTGGCGACCCGTCCTTGGTCCCAATAGTCAGATGACGTGCTTTGTCTTGGTGCAATAGCAGATATATAACCTCTCAAAGAATGGGATTTACCGTGATCAGTATGACATGATCTGTGCCGCATATAGCTCTTGCTGAGAGACAAACTTTTTCAGATCCATAATGTCATGAGCTATGCACGCATAGCTTTGGTCAAACATTGCTGATATTGACAGTTATGGCCGACACCATTGATTGAGGGAATTTGCTCATATGAAGGGGGCCATAGCCTCTTTCAAGTCCGGAGGATCCGCCCTGTCCTGCCCTCTTGTTGTCCGAGTGACCGTTAGTGGATTTTACTAGTTTTCACTTTAGGTAGACATTTCAGCAGAGGCTCTACTTTTCCTTGCCGTACTAGGCTTAGGAGAGCTCCAGGGGATCGTTTTCCACACGTCTCCTTGGATATATCTTTGCAATAAGAACATAACGATTTAGGGGTGCAGATGCTTTTTCCTGCCCGACTGGCATCTTGGGTGACGTGAGGTGAAATGGGACCCAGTTTTACCCCCTTAATACCAGCGCCAGACAGGGTAACAAGTACCATCTCTTAACGTCATTTGGTATGACACGGCCGGGGATCGAGCCCCAGACCTTCTGCTCTCCGGATAGACACTCTACCACTAGACACAGGATCGGTCTTACTTCGACTTCTTGGTCGATGTTGCACCCAGAGCAGACGCCGATAGGGGAGTCCATCTCCAACAACACGTCAACTACCTTCTCACATTATAATATCTCAAATATTTCCAGCAACTGCAAGTGACTGAATTTTTGTCCTGAAGATGATCCAGTAGTTACAGTGTTATACGAATCCAAAACTGAGATGAGTGTAATAAAAAAATAAATTGATGTTCACTCCAGCAACAGGAAACGTGACCATGCCCCACATCACGCATGCACACTCACATAAGCCTGAGAATAGGGTTAGCCCCAGAACTGGTTCAGAGATAGTTGGCAGTGAACAGTACGCATGTTGGAAATCTTAAATATTTTATAGCGTGGTGATGTAATAGAGGTAGGATATTCAATGGAATTATTAGTGATGTCGTTTGATCGTGACGTTCAGTAACCGAAGACGTCACAATGGTCTGCAAAACCAGTTTTTGATGATTACTCTATTTTATTAGTCTGTGGTTTGTTTTGCCCACTGCAACTGTTCTAAAATGTCATGGGAGATCTCATGACCTGATGCTGAAGGAGAATTGAGAAATTTAAATGATACTTTCTTAAAAGTTAAGTGTGATTGTGATTCTCCAAGGCATCAAGGAACAAGTGAGGTCATATGCCTCACACAACCTCCCTGATTTAGAACGTTAGGCCCCTTGTTTGTCGTGAAGATTTTAGTTCCATGGAGCAGTTTAAAGATTGACCCGATTCCTTTCACGCAATCTCATGTGACTTCACTTGTTCCCAGATGCCTTGGAGAACTTTAAACCACTTACAACTTAGTATAATTTTGACATGCCTTTCTAGATGAACAAATCTGGATACACAACAAACCACTTGTTTAGACACCTGGTTTTGATGCCATTTCTAACAGATTAAAAGTGAAATCTCAAATTGCACAGAAATGTGTAGAAGACATATTAGTTTACAATTGTAACATTTCATATTTTTCAATTTTGAAATTGATGACATTAATAAACAGTATTTCATTTCACTCCACACCTGCTTAGAACTGCAGTGAGTTTCACATGAAATACTGTCAGCAAGAAGTTAATCAATATGTGATGGCATTTCAATTCCTCCCAAAGGCTTTGTGTGGAACAATTTGTTTATATGGATAGTTATTGTGTGCTGTTGAAGACGTCCATCTGGTATTCTACATTATATTACTTATCTTCCAATAAACAAATGGTTTCAACTGTATTTGACACTGAGCCAAGGATTTGAAAGGTTTCATGTCCAAGTGTATTGATTGTTGTCATGTTTGAAAGCTTTGCAATTAATAAACAAATAAAATGGGATGAAGGAAGAGATGTGTTTAGCCATGTAAACTTTATGTCTTGTAATTAAATGGTCTTTGTATACATATTATTGATGACATGTAACTGAAGTTGGTACAGTTGTAGCCCAGATGCCAGGAGGTACTTCCTTGTCATGGTCAGCCATCTAACCTGCTTTTACTTCTTGTTAAAGGCCGCACTCACCAAAATTACAGCTTTATGATAACGGTCTGTAAATAATCAAGTCTGGGCTAGCCCATCCAGTGATTGACAGAAGTAGATTCACACAATTAGGATAGATCACATGCCAACAACAGTCTCGGAGCCTGATCCATTCAGTCGCCCCTTATGACAAATGTAGTTTGCTGGGGAGCTATACTCATACCTGAAATCAATAAAGGCTGCAGGTGCTCATAGAATATCGTTCATATCAGTGCACAACCAGTCACATGGCAGTTGTCATAGCATGTACCCTTTGACTTTTCGTTATTAGATGGTCATCCAACTAAGTTTACATGCATCATTACTCTTACCTACATTTTAACCAGTCATGAAAGGTTGATACTCTGAGATAAACCTTAAACATCTTTCAATGTAAGCTTGGGTATTGTTTCCAACCTTATAATTCTGGGCCCACTTGCACAAAGCGAACTTAGCGCTAAGATGATCGTAACTCCCATACTTTAACATAGACTTACGATAGTCTTAGCGCTAAGATGGCTTTGTGCAAGTGGGTCCTGTTGTCTGCAAACTAAATATCACCAAAGGATTTGGATTGGCCTAGTAGTTCTGGAGTGCCGTGTGATAGTTGTAAAATGCAGCAGTCAGCAATATTCCAGCTTCATTAGGGCAGCCTGTAAATGATGAAGTCGTCGCCAGGCAACAAGTGACTGAAAGCATGTACAATGAGCATCAGGCAATGTTGATATGCAATTAGCCAAGTAACAGATCCTGACAACAGAATACCCAGTTCAAATCCAAAATAACATGAACATAAGGAAGTGTTGAACTTCACTTGTTAAAAAATGCATTCATGATTCACCAAAGCCACATTTTTACCTTCACAATCATTTAGTAAAAAGCATATTATGTAATACAATATTATCCAAAGATCAGATATTAAGGCATAATATCATTGATCATTAACATCATTTCAAACTTGAAAGCATAAATTCTGAAATAACATGTCTCAAAAAAGCTCAGTAGTTCATCTCCCCCTTCCCATTCAGACGGCTGGCTTCCTTCTCCTCTGTCGATATTTGCTGTCACAGAATATCAAACTAATATCATCAAAACAAAACTCAATCAGTCATCCAACTTCTACTTGTTAACTTGCCCCATATGATGTGACAAAAAACAACAACATCCATGTTCGTCCACAATACCCACATGGTTGTCCTCCACTTCTTCCTGCCCTAGTAGATACATTGGTACAGAGAAATATAACACAGTCTCAAGACAATAGATACAAGAAATAACCCAGCAAAAAACAACACGAAACGATCTCAACAATTTTACTTTTCTTATGAAAAAATTAGAAAACGGCTATAACAAAAATAATGATGTTGATTGGCATCTATTGACAAAATGATAATTATATACATAAGTTTGTTTACAAGGAATAAACAAATATCACTGAGCAATCATCACATTAGATCATGTACACATATTCCAGACAGTGAGATATTTGGTGATCCGAGCCTTCTTGTTTCTGCAGCTGTGTCTCACAGCACCAGACTGCTTCAATAGACTGCTCAAAACTGGTGGTCAGCACTGCATGGGTCTTACCTCAATCAATTCTACAGCTAATCTGATCTTTGGAATATGCAAGGCTAACAAGGCTAAATATGAAAAAAAAACCACATTGCTTTTTGTAAATTCTCACCATTCACATCTAATACTGTAAATAAAATCTTCTTAAATGTCAGGGGTTAAGCTATCACAAATCAATCATTTTAGTTTTTCAGCATGGACATCTTGTTAGCCATGACATGAAATACCATCTGTGTTGTTACTCCATGTGGTGAGACAATGCAGCCCCTCGTCTCATGCCATAAGCTCCCATGTTTTTCTCACAGGATGAGTGAGTGAGTATAGTTTTAAGCCGCTTTTAGCAATATTCCAGCAATATCACAGCGGCGGACTCCTCACAGGATGACCTTCAAGTTCTACATATAATCATGAACATACAAATACACACTCTCATGAACAGCAAGCCATAGCAAACTCAACTTAAAGAAATTTAATTTTACATTACATATGCTACAAGACTAAGCCAGAAAACAAAAGCCAAATTAACTGAAATGAATTTTTCAGAGAAGCCACTGCTGCATCTGATGGAGAACAGGGGCTTCAATCCTGCCTTCATATACAATCCACTGCAGAGTATCAGTGACTCTTACAGATTCACACAAGTGATAAAATCTTGCATGAATCTGGTTATTTCCTCTACTGATTGTTGTGATGTGTTGTGATGGCCACCTCTAGTGGTAAAAACCAGCTATGCCCAAAGTTTCTCCTTTGGGAAGCAGTGCCCAGAATGAGAATCAGTCATAGACGTTCACTCATGATGAGAATCAAAGGTATGTCAGCAAAATGTAGGAATACTAGTTGGCTGCTGGAAGAAAGTACCAGTATATTTGCTTGTGAGCTGGATTTCCCCCCCTGATCATTTGGTTACAGAGAAGTACACTGCTTGTGCAGTGGGCAGTTATATTGTGACATTATCTCATAATCCAACTTATTAGTGACAGCTGCAATCAGCATTATGTTCTTTGCAATGTGGTTAATTTTCCGCACAATTTTATTTTAATTATGTCCTTGTATCAAATCCTTCCAACAATTTTCTTAACAATTACACCAACACTTCATATATAGATGTACACATAATTCATTTCATTGGTTGTTACAAAATGGTGTTCACTTGATTTTGTTTCCAGGTGTCATGTGTGGTGTAGCACCTGTTGTTGAATTCCATTTGAGTCAAATCCACATACATGACAAGCATTACTCAAAGTACCTGGCCAGACATTTCTCATGATTATGGCAATGGTTTTACCACTCTTATTTCATCCAGTGAGGAATATGGTTGGCTTCTTCATGCTACCCATATCTGTCAGTCTAGTTAAAACTTTTCTCAGCTTTCCATCCTACATATTCCATCATCCAACCCACTGAAGGGTCATGGTGATACACAAAACATTCAGTTTTGTAACCTGAACTCAATGACAAAAGAAGTGAATGCAGTCATCCACTATATGTCAGGTTATTGAGCCGCCTCTTATTACACATGCTGCAGGACTTCTTGTGAGCATTGTTCTTGAAACACTTGAGAGCCCCATCACCAAACAATGACTTGGTTGAAAGTCCACCACGTAACATCATTGTGTTATATCTAATGCAACATGGGTTTCCTCATATTAACACAGCATGTTCATCATGTACCTTGTGTGGCGAATCAAACCATGTCCCACAATACACAGGCTTCACCCTCAGGTTTTATCGTAATGGCTGAACATTTTCTATTTCAAATTTGTTCCTGTATTATCAATTATGCTTGCCATATTTTTTTTAAAATCCATGAAAAATATATTTCCCGCCATAAAGTCCAACATTCCCCATGGGTCATCATTCATGACAGCAGATGCCATGCAGATTATTATGCAAGTTTCTGAGGATGTTTCTCTTCCCATGTCACATCAGATCCTCCTTGTTGACAACATTAGTTGATGGTTTCTGTATTGATGAAAGTGTTTGTGCTACACGTTTGATATAATGGACATAAACAATGTCAGAAATAGCAGGCACCGTCAAGTCTGCAACCACTCCAACATGTATTTTAAAAAGTTGATTACTGTTGTCAAGGTGAGGCAAGATGTTGATGAACGTCATCTGTCTTATTTCAAATTATCTGTGTAACCAAAGTAGTACATGACTGTTTAAGAAGCACACCATGCATGAAATATTCCCTTAGTTCTGTATCCTACAAGAGGCTGATCACTTCACATGGTGGGTTGAACATGGCTGTGATGAACATCTTGCTAAATTAACAGTAATCGTCTCAATTTCATCTGTGTTCAAAGGCAGTCATTGAGTCATCTTTCTACAATTATTCTTTTTTTCATTTCATCTGAAGAAAAAAGTCTTTTTAAGCACATTTCTAAGTCATAATCATATTTCACAAAAGCTCCAAGAAAACCCAAAGTCTTAATTACTTTAAAACAGTTTCTCCTTCTGCATCTTCACTAACAGGTACTGATGAAATATCCATAATAATTTATAAATATAAAAAGTCAATGCCAGAAAATAATCTTGATTATCTGCCGAAACAGATTCCATTGGGTGCAAAAGTCAAAATAGCAGTGAAAATCATATGAATGGATCACTGAAATTCAGTGATGACACCATCAAACATGTGAAGCATGTAAACAGTGGAAATAGCATATAGAATTCATTTCTTTGTGTACACAGTTTCTGGTAGTTTCAGTGTGACAATGTTCAATTGAAACACAGGCATCAGGCTGGTGAACTTCAGGAGTGACCACCTGCATGTTGGATTTCAACCGTCCTGAGACGACAACTGTACAAGAAACACGAAGGAACAGGCCTACACACAGACACACTGTTCATCTAAGCATATACAAACATAATGGCATGTCTAAGGCAGACACATGGTTCAACTACAGACAGACATAAGGCTCATCTATAGAGAGATACATGTGGAACACATGGTGGGCCAGGGAGACGAGCCCTAACAGTATCAGAACATCTTGGTGGTCTACATGTTCCAGATGGTTCAACAAACACACAGCTATGAAAAAAAACTTCCAAGGTTAGCAGCTATGGAAGGTCACGGCAGCTAATAGAACATAATCCTATCATCCCCTGTAACTGCTGTGGTCTACTTTTACATTTGTGTTATGGGTTTCACTGTATGAGGGGTCGAATTTTGATTAATCTTATATATTGAGCCATGTTGAACTGTCATCAGTCCAATTTGTGTCACTGTTCCTATGACTGTTTGTGGTTTGTGCACCACCGTAACAGCGTGATGGTGCTGTCACATGTTGGCTCTGTAGTAGTGGACCTACCTTACACAGAGGTATGTGTGGAACTACATGGAACATACTCAAGCATATACAATGAACCACAAATCATCTCACATATCAAACCGTAAAATAATATGACATAACATATAAGCATTACAAGTGACAAGTTGCTTTGCTTGCATGGACAGTGCCATCAAGTTAGAAATAGGATATTTGAACCAGCACATAAGCATAAGGCATTGAGGGATAACCATGAAGTAAAAGTACTGCTGAAGCCATCATCAGAATCTCCAACGGGCTTAAATTTCCACCCCTAAACACAAAACATGTAGATGCAAAGCACTAAAAGTATAAGAAATAGAGTAACCTAAGGGACCGACCATTTCATATCTGGCCAGTGTGTGTGTGTGTGTGTGTTGGGGGGGGGGGGGGGGGTCCTGGAATTCGGTATCGAAACTTAGATATTTTTTCAGCTACAGCTACAACATCTACAAAACCAGATATTTTTGTATTTAAAACAATGAGCTTGAATTATTTCAAAACAAAAAACACCTTGATTGTTTTTCTCTAGAATTTTCAGGGTCTCAGGAATTTTCAGGGACAATATATTTTTTTCAATAAAATCCCAGGTCCCCCCCAGAATATTAAATGGTCGGTCCCTAATACCTCCTGCTTGTGCTCAGTGCCTGTCACAGCCCATTTGACACCAAGTCAACTTGGACCAGATTGAAGATTTTTCAAGTGAATACAAAATATTTGTGATACAAACGTTGTTCCCAATGGACTGGCTCTGACCCACATTTGTCTGGTTTGAGTATGTGATACTGCCTGTTGTCAAGTACAGTAGTGGGAGAGGACGTCTGAAATACCTACTGACCACACCTCACTGACCCGCTGACAGGTTTATTACAAAACAAGATCTTTCTAGACAGGGACATATTCTGTGAATGGCACCAGAGAAGGCACATGGTACCACAGTTTTACAAAATATATAAGAAGGTACATTTTGTATAAATGTTTTCAAGTCTTTGCCTGAGAACCAACTACTAATATGCTTTCAGGTCCAGTGAACAATCTACATTTATGCTTTCAGGGCCTGTGAACCTACTGTTTATTTATTTTCAGGGCCTGTGAACCAATTGTTGATATGCTTTCAGGGCCTGTGAACCAAGTACTTTTATCCTTTCAGCCTAACATAAAAGCTCTTTAACATTCAGTACTGAGAATGATTTGGCATGTTGTAATATGTCTAAGATCAAACAATACCATGCTGTCGGTTGTGTACACCAGAACAGAGGTTGTAGTCATGTAGTAAGTTCCCTCAAATACAACAGCAAATGACATTAAACATACATCAAGCATGTCAACACAATCAAATATCTGCTACAGGTATGAACACATATGATCTCATTTGTTTGTATGTTTCAAATATCTCAAAGTAAACACATTTATGACTTAAAATACTGCCTAAAACACACATCCTACTATCTAGTAATCTTGCAGCTACACTGACCAAGTCCAACCATACAACTCAGGCAGCCTATTCGTGAAGCTGTCTTCGCTGATACAAATCTTAATGACTTGCAACTAAAACTATGACTGCCATAAGAGATATTCTTGAAGCTGTGTTACCTATTGCTACGTTATCTTACTTACGACACAAATATTAGCTAAGACAGTGAGCTCTTTTGTCACAGACATAATTTCCCAATGACAATTATTCAGGGAATTCCCTAGATTGATTATTAAAAATTTTCTTTATTAAAATTAATACACATTTTAAAGATAAACAATTAAACCTCTATCAAAGGTAAATGTTGATGTGACGATTAATGCTGTTGCCTCATGTTATTGTGCTGTAATACTGATCAATGAAGGATATTATCATAAAGCTGATGTCCTTTATCATGCTTATAGATAGATCCAGAAAGCATTGCAGATGGATATATAGAATGTGAAAGGATGATGCCGAAGAAAAAAGAAATGTGCTAAAAGATATATGTGAAAAAGTAGCAATATATCGTATTCTAGCGATACATATGGGGTCTCACATTTCACGACGCTTTTTCAATCGGTTTCAAAATACACCTCCAACCTAAATAGTTTGTAAACAAATAGGAGTACACTACTTAACCTTAGAAAAGAACAATGTTCAACTAAAACAACAACTTATCTAAATGGTGCACTGTGATATCATTCAACTGATATTGGTACAATTCAGCGTGCAGTATTTCCGTCTTCGGTGTGCGGTAACAGTGCTAGTGAAAAAAGGCTCTGGACACTATGCCAGTTGATTGAATATTCATAGAGATACTGATTACACATGAATGTCTTCTGAGCATCTTAAATTAAAACAAATCTTCAAGCAACTTTGCGATTTTAAAACTTGAATTTTAACCTTTATGTAAATCACAGAAGAAATTTAATTAGAATTTGCACATTATCCTGTATGCAAGGATCTCACACCTTGTTAAAGGGAAACTATCTACAAGGACAAGAAATATGTGAATTATATCGATATGGCCACATGTCAAAAACAGACAGATTGCTTCAAACACACTGAACAAACATCTGTTTGCTAGATGTGAGAAGGAAATACTGAACATATGACAATGAAACGCACGCACGCACGCACGCACACACTCACGCACGCACACACACACACCATTTGGGAAGGAATGTTATGTGAATCAACCTACCACTGCAAATCAACCTTACATATCTGAAGTATTTTTTTACACAACACTAAAGAAACTTGAATCATTATCTTTTATCAATGGAAATGTAATATTTATTCATGGACGAAATGCTTTTCAAACAACTTGCCATCAAGCTATAGATAATGGACAAGGTGCTCACTCCATTGTACACCATTTATGTCAAACATTGTATGTGTAGTCAAAGGGAAACCACTCTCACTCTCCATATAAAGTAACTGCCCTTGACAAGAAAAGGGTGTTTCAGCAGTGTTTTGCAAATACATACATAGAGTATACCTACACTGTCAAATCGTTTTTTTCAACATGCCATCTTTTGGCCACCTTTGTACCTGTCATAAGCTCCTAAAACAGTTCCAAACCCTGTCTTATTCTTTTTATAATAATTTTAGATAACTTAAAAAGACAACCTCGAAAGACTTAGCTCAGATTTATTTCGCTACAACACCTTTATGGCAATCTTAGCAGTAAGACAGCTTGTGAATAGGCCACCAGAAGCTTAGCACTAAGAAGTTCTTCAAAGCAGGATTTTTTGCCTTCAATATGAAATTCTGTCAGTGAGTAAGTGAGTGAATATGGTTTTACGCCGCTTTTAGCAATATTCCAGCAATACCACGGCTGGGGACACCAGAAATGGGCTTCACACATTGTACCCATGTCAGGAATCGAACCCGGGTCTTCGACGTGACGAGCGAACGCTTTAACCACTAGGCTACCCGACCGCCCCTTCTGTCAGTGAGCAAGCTGCAGGTGTTGATGATCTCACACTAGAATAAAACCTTTACCATGAATATAATTAAAAGTTGAAATATGCTTGAATTTGTGTTCATATTCAAATTTCAATGCCATATCTTAAAGATGGTAAACACATATGACAATATCTTTCCAAAATGGCATATCATTTGTAAACCCTCTGCCAAACCAGTTTTTACTAAGCCTTCATAACATGTGGTCAGGGTCCCGAGCCACAAAGCATTCGTATTGTTACAACCTGTTGTAACTCTATAGAGTACCATAGGCTTATGAATATCACAGAGCCTCAAATAATTTGTGGATTGAGACCTAGGCCTCTATTGTTACTGTTGCCAATACCTTACACAATACAAATGGCTTTTGGCACACACTGGTGCAATAATGACAAAACATGATTATTGATGACTAAAATGAAAACAACAACAATATTGAGAGGAAAAGCTGGAGCATTGAGTCTGTACCTGGTGAGGTGTTGATGCCTTGCAGCAGTTCCACGAAATGTTTTACCCCGTCTGTAAAATGTTGAGATCATGAAGCAACATACCCAAGGTAACAGTTTCCAAACACTGAACACTGCCCCTTCTATCCAGCACCTTGCTCTAACACACAACACAAGGAACAGCACTGGTCCTTGTTGATAGGTCTTCACATGGTGTATAGCTGATGTTTCCATAACACCTGAGACAACATAAGGTAATGTTACACATCAAGCTAAGTAGAACTAGCATGGCTACCATGATGATATGAGCTGCAACCCTGAATGCAGAGGTTATTGTGAAAGAGCAGCCCTATGTGACTATGAGCTGCCATGACAAGGGTCCTCTTGCATGCCCTGTGAGATTGTCCCTGTGGTATAGGGTATGTAGGCACTGAAGCTGGAGGTGTTAAAGGGTAAAGGTTCCCAAAATATGTCATCCTGAATATACAAGATGAAGGTGGTATGCCAAGCTCTGTCAACTGATGATTCACATGAAGGTTTTCCCCAGTTCAGGAGCACCTCAGTGAAGATTGCTAAGACACTTTATCATGAAGAGATAGGTGTGGGTGGTGCTATTGAGCTCACTGGTCAGCTGCAACATGTGGCCATGCAACTCGTCCACAGCTTCTCGCAGTATCTGTAGCTCTCGTGCACTCACAAAGGAAAAGTCTCTCTTCTGCCTGTGTCCGGACTGCTGTGCCAGAGGCTCATACTCCGTAGCTGCAAAACAACAAGACAGGTCTATCAGTGAGCCTTCTCACGTTACCAGCTTACTCAACACCTACACAGAGGAGGCCAGCTGTTGTTGGACAACTATAACATTTACCTGAATGTATGACCAAGTCAGAAAACACAACTGTATAACAAGTATCTTCATTGTTAGTTGAACAGGGCAAGAGTTAACCTGCTTGCATTGTACTGATTATCCAGGCAAAAGCTTTCATTAAAAATCTCTAATTTACCATAATTGTCACCTTGGCAAGAATGAGCTGATAAAACATACATGAAATACCTGTTGTTACCCATCTCTCTTTGCACAATAACATAAAATATACATAACCTGGCATCTTTCACTTCTCAATTTGTTTGTTTGTTGTTTAACACTGCACTCAGCAATATTCAAGCTATATCATGTTTATGACGGAGGTCTGTAAATAATCGAGTCTGGCCCAGACCATCCAGTGATTGATGTCATGAACATCAATCCACGCATCTTTCTCTTCTTAAGCTTATCCAGAGAGTGTTATGTCTGCATCCATGAATGGCCAAGACAAATACGGTCAAAATTATATCAATGGCCGATCAGACTTTGCAATATTCAGAAAATGACTTATTATTCTTTTATACTTAACAGTCCATATGTCCAAATCAAATATTAACTTTGCTAACAAAATGTTCGATGAATTGAAGTTGTGCCATTGAGGGACACCTGAAAAGTCTACCAAAGCTTCTGTAGTTGGCAAAAAAAAGAAGAAAAAAAAAGTGTTGAAACTTACACTTATGCTTATTGCTAGACCATTTCTAAATAGTGAAATTAATCCATGCATTAGACATTGCAATTGGACAACATAATACATGAACATCTTATCAGACCCGTGAAGATCTGGGGTAGAAAAGGCGACTGTGCTTGTTGTAAAAGGTGACCGGGTGGTCAGGCTAGCTGACTTGGTTGATGCATGTCATCGATCCCAATTGCGTGGATCGATGTTCATGATGTCAATCACTGGATTGTCTGGTCCAGACTCGATTATTTAAAGACCACCGTCATATAGCTGCAATATTGCTGAGTGCAGCGTAAAACAACAAACCAAATAATTTATCATTGTTAATTATTTGAAAAGAGCACAGGAAAGATATACTTCTGACACTATCTGAAAACGTCATCAATTGTAACTTACTTTTTTAAATGTTGTGTTATCATGAACTTACTTTGCGCACACTGCAGATAGCTCTGTGTATTAACATACACCAACATGGCCAGTTCCTCACAGCTTGCAGTGGAGTACTGTTGGATCCCTGCACCACGAGCCCCTGCCCCCTCATCATCTGATGGGGACTGGGGTGGGGTGACTAGACTTCGGGGAGGGGAAGCTTGGTAGTAGGCCTCTACAACTTGCTTCAGTGATACAGGGAAATCCTCACAGCACAGACTGGTTCCATCACACTGATCCTCCAGCAACCTCTGTGTCACCTTGAAGCGCAAGAGATCTGATGACAGTGTCTGTAGGAACAACTTCTTACATCGAATGTCAGACAAGTAGATGTATGTCCTGACTAATTCACAAGAGATCCGCTTGGCAGCATCCACACAGTTCCTGGACACCTGGATGCCTAAGTGCAGCAGCTTCTGTAGATTAGGTAGTACCTTGGGAACACATCCCCCATCAACACATGACCACGTGTGTTTAGACTGATTTCCCTTGTCTGACCTGTCTGGCTTCTCCACTAGTCTAGGATTACTAACATCTTTGTACTCAGATGTAATTATGCTGCCAACCCAGTTAACAATCTGCTTTAAATTGGTGTACGACATGTCAACTGACAAATACTGGTAAGCAAGAGCTCTACGTATTTCTGCAAGATTATGCAGGTTCCTTTTGTAGAGATCTGTTTCCAGAGCCTGGATAACCAGCTGGAGGTAGAGACTTCCCTTCACTATAGACTCTGTGGGAATCACATACATCCCCTTTTCAAGGGAGAGGTTGCCCATCACACGAGTGAAGAGAAGCCAGTCTATGTGAATGCAGCTCGGGTACTTTTGCCACACTTGACTCAGCAGTTTGAATGTCTTGTACGATACTCTGATGCAACTCGTACCTAAGAGACTTTTTTCAATGATTTCAGACACAATTTCATCTGTTGGCTTTAACCTTGAGGAGAAGTCACTGACCAGGTCAAGCCCATACTCCAGGAACTTCTCTCCTTCTTCTAAGGCTGCCTCAACTGTATTCACATGCAAGTGAGTCAAAGATGCTGCAAGTTCGTCTTCTTCAGTAACATACTGACTATGATAAGATATCAAACGACTTGAGCGACCTTCAAGGCTTACTTTTTCATAGGAATTAGATGGCTTGGAGGGAAAGAATTTACGAATGTCTAAGCGAGGAACACTGTGGGATGAACTATTAGTGACACTGACCGTTCTTGTCTTCTTTGGACCTGAAATTTGAGTAGGGTGTTTAAAGCTCTTTGAAGGGCATCGATTGACAGGATTTAGAATCTCACAATCCGTGTTATCAGAGTCAGGCTGGTATTCATCATCATCATCATCATCATCATCATCATCACTGTCACTTTCATCAATTTCTATCTGTGATGAGTCAGAGACATCAGATAAACTTGGCACTGGTGATGCAGCTCGAGCATTCTCATTAGGCTGAAAGACTGCATCCATGAAATGTCTGCTGCCAGTGGAGGAGGGTTTACTGCTGCTACTCGATACATCCGAAAATTCTGATGGTGACTGTGGCCTTCCACCTACCGTCTTATTTTGCTTGAGAACATTGCCAAAAATAGCTGCCATTTTAGTTCTAGCAGAGTCTGTTAATAGCAGCCTTTTCTTCATACCAGTTTCTTTCTTATCATTAACACCTTTATCAAGACTTGGCACTTCAGGTTTAGCCATTGTCTCATCTGGAGTGGCTGAAAGTGATGCAAAAATGCCAAGCCTCGTGTTGGCTACATCATCATCTGATGACAAGACAATGGGGGACGAAGTCACTGTAGGGTTTGGGGGATAGGCTGGATGATGCTCAGGAGTTTTCTGTCTCAGATCAAGGTCAGGAAGGTCATCTGAGAATTCATCTTCATCGTCTGTGACGGTGATTGTCCTCCTCAGCTTGCTGCTGCTGCATTTTGGTGCCAACTCAGGCAGATTCAGCCTGGCACGTTTGCAAGCTGGAGGTAAGCACTTACGATCTTCCTTTTCCTTTTTGTTTTGAGACCAAGATTTTTTGTTATCATACTTGTGTTTTACTGGCGGAATTGCAATCTGTTCTCTCAGGCAGGTCATACTGTTTGGACCCTTGCAAGACTTGGAAGTGGATGGCTCTGTAGGATTTAGTTCATTTTCTTTTTTCTGGAAAAAATAAAAGGGACAGTTGAAAATAACATAGTGAATGAAACCCTGAGACAAACCCGGCCTGTATAGGATACCTCTCATCCTGGTTAACCATGTCTTTACTAACACTGATAATTCTTACAATGTGTTACAGATAATTTTACTTTCTTAAACTTTCAGAAGATGAAAAATCCCCCCCGCCCCCACAAATTTGAAAGACTTTTACTTTATGACCAAATTGATGAGAGAATTTCTATCCAATCTATCTGTCCGTATACAAGAGTAGTTTTGAGCTATCAAAACAATACCATGAAATTGGGATTCTGAACTTTGTATTTCTATATGAGGTACACATCACTATGAACAGAGTCAAAGTGAAACTTGTTGCCACTGAAACGAAAAAAGAAAAAAATCTAAACACCTCTAAATAGCAAACGGCAACGTTTGGCAACCTGGGTGCCATTGTACAAAACAACCTTAGCGCTACAACTGTCATAAGTCTATGTTAAGATATGGGAGTTACGATCACCTCAGTGCTAAGAGCTCTTTGTACAATGGCACCCTGGTCATTGTGTGTGCACAGTTTCAAGAAACATGAACAGATGTCAAAGTCAAAATTGTTGCCAAGAATTGATTAAAACAGGGAAAATTCACAATTTTTCAAAATTCCTAAATAGCAAAAGGCACCACTTCAGCCCTTGATTAATACATATACCAAGTTTGGATGAAATTGTTGAATAGTTTTTTTTAGTTCTGCTCCAGAAATGATACCTACCTCTGTTTCAGTTAAGAGTAGTTTCTTTCCAGGGGAACACCAAAGGGAAAAAACAAATTTTGAAAAATCCCTAAATAGCAAAGGCACCACTTCAGCCCTTGGTTAATACATGAACCAGGTTTTTGACACCTACCTCCACCCTTTTTCTAGACTAAGTCCAAATTGACTATATGGAAATCGGGAAAAATGAAAATGCCAAATATCCAAAAATAGCTAAAGGCACCACTTCAGGATCTGTTTGAAATATCTGTCACGCATTGCTAAAAGATATTGAACGATTTATGAGTTGTGCTCTGGAAACGAAATCCATCCCACTTTTAGAGACTAAGTCCAAATTGTTTCCATGCCCCAAATCTGTGAATAGCAAATGGCACCACTTCAGGTTCTACTACACCAAATCAGTACCAGTTTGGAGAGTGCGGTTTTCGTAGGGAGCCTTCAGTGCAGATCGAGAGATATCTGCAGGCTGTGATTGGAGGATATTCTGTAAGATTTTTATGTCTTTCAAATGTACATCCATCCAGTTATTAAAACTGACCATGTTTTTCTATATTTAGTACTGTCTTTTTCAACATGATGACTTATGCTGAATGTGACCACAGCTATTTTCAAGTAGGTGACATTTGGTGCGAAACTGGGGGTGGTGTGTTTAGCTTCCGGTACTCGGAAAAGGAGCTGGCTAAGCTAGTCATTTTTATTTTTTTTATTGCTGCTCTAAGGCCAAACTGTGCACACACGTACAGGTAATAGCTGTTGAATGCTTAGTTATTTAAAAAAAAATCATAACGTTACTATAGAAGTCTATGGGAAAACATTTGGTTGTGTGTAACCTTCAGGATCTGTTTGATATACCTGCAAAGTTTTGTTGAAAAATATTGAAGGTTTTTTTAGTTATGCTCTGGAAAGGAAATGATTTCGGACTGACGGCCAGACAAACGGCCAGACGGACAGACAAGGCGCCAACTATATGTGAATATTACAGGGACAGATTTTTGTTTACAGAAAAAAGGGGTATATAAATGTCCATTAACTAATACACAAAACCATTTTATCCACATTGGAACTATCGGTAAGTTTGTTCATTACCACTCCACTCCTACAGATGTAAGGACGTGGACTCCAGCACACAGTGCCAACACAACTACAGGCATGTAGTGGGAATTAGACATGGACAGGAAGTACATCTTATTCCAAACTGACTACCTCTTGATACAATGTATTCTAGTAATGAGCATTTGTAAGTGAGAACACCTGCAACCATGGCAACCTTGAGATCTTTACAATACCATACAACTATGGGGAATTTTTGCACACTTTCTCTAAATAGTTATCAGCAAGTATATGTTGTAAACTACCAATAAGACATATATATTGTAACAATCAAGCTCATAACATCATAGTAAATCCTGACTTTGTAAAGTCAAACAAATGGCCAGTTTTTTGGTTACTGGGTATTAATCATATTTTAGAATCTACGTTTTTTTTAACTTATCTATAAGTATAACAATAAGTGGGGAAAAGATATATGTAATGGTTTTAATAACATATCGACATATGCAATTCAAGCCAGCATGTGTTGTGGAACCATATCTTTTAAATGTAAGGAGTCTACAATCTGAACCACATCGTATTTCTGAGCAAATCTCTGAATATGACATAGTATGTTTTACAGAGACACGCCTAACCATGCTAACCTTGATGATTCTGTAAACACAAATGACCTGAAAATAGACCTTTATCATTCTCCTTATAGGAGGGTTAGGAACTGTTTTGGTGGTGGTATTATCATATATTTCTTGACATTGTTGTATGTTAAACGTAGGGAAGATTTAGAATCATACAATTATGTAAATATGTGTTTGAGGTTTTTTTTGCCTCAGAAGAGACTATTATTATGTGCGTGGTACAGACCATTTAACACCCCTGTATTGGAATCAACTAGAACACCCACTTGAAACTTCACTAGATTATATGCCTTACTTGGTGATTTTAAGAAAGATTTACTCAAATGCAACCTTCACCATCTGCACGATATTTTAGTTAGGAAGAGTTAACGTAATGTAATTAAGGAGCCGACACGCGTCACTCAGTATTCACAAACTCTGCTTGACCCTATTGTTATCAGTGACGATTGTAATTGTATAGAGTCAAGTGTTGTCGACTTCAGCACGGATATAAGTGACCACAAGGGGGTTATTGTTTTGCTAGTGAACTGCATTGACATAAAAAAACCTATGTAAGAAAGCTTCTGATTCATAAAAATGGTGACCATGCTAAGTTAAATGAATTGATTCACAGACCATCTCCACATGCGAGCCCGAAGCCCTTCGGGCTTGCGTGTGGAGATGGTCATGAATATGCATGAGGGCGTCTATTTTTAGATACGGACTCCTGTGATTGATTGAATCAACTATTTCGATGCACATGTTTAATAGCTGCGAGTCTATTAATGTAATATGTGATATTTTTCTGTCCACATTTAAAAACTATATAAGCTTATGCGTACTGTGCTGTTACAATAAGGTCAAAAGATAAAGCATGGTTTGAAAGTGAACTACAGAGAGAAATAAGAATAAAAGATCGACTGAGAAAAAAACTAGATGAACATGCAATAAACACGATTTATCTAAATATAGAAATAAAGTAAATAATTTGAAGAAAGCTGTCAAGGAAAACTTTTATCTGAACTTAGATGAATTATTATCTACACAAATAAAGATTTTCTGATTTTGATAAAGCTGAAGCTCTCAACGATTATTTTGCATCAGTTTCCAATGTTGATGATGAAGGCGTCTCACTACCACCATGTGATCACGAATAGGATTATACCATTATAGCAAATCAATAAATAACAGATCTCATAAAATCCTTACCAGTAAATAAAGCAAGTGGATTACCGGGTACTAAACCACAGATTACTAAAAAATATATCCCTATTCAAAGCCAATCCTTTACGAATGTTATTCAATTCATCTCTTGAACAAAGCACATTCCCATCACAGTGGAAACTAGCTAATGTAATGCCTTTGTACAAAAAGGGAGATAAATCCCACCCTTCCAACTACAGGCCTACTTCACTGTTATCTTGTCTTGGGAAATTATTTGAAAGACTTATTTTTAAAAGAATGTATAATTATTTTCTGGAGAATAAACTACTCTCCAAATATCAATCGGGATTCATGCCAAACAATTGTACTACGTATCAACCAATCTCATTAAAATCAGACCTTAGTTCTGGCTACCGCTAAACAAAGATCTGAGGACATCCCATTACGGGTCATGTGAGACCGACCTTGTGCGAACTTTGACCGACCAATAGAATGACCAATCAGAAGGCAGCTTTCTCGTGCTTTACGGCACTAATTTCAAATTGGCGACTACGCTTCGAAACATATTTTGACAAATTCTCGATTACAAATTTGAAACCTAAACAAAAGAACATTCTGGAATGGCTAATAGATGGTCTAGATTGTATGGATTCAGTCGTTAAACCTGTAACTATCGTTCGGAATACCCCATGTTAAAGTTTTCGAGGTTGTATGATTAGAAATCACATTCCGACTGTCACTTTCATTATCTGGTAAGCGACGCTCTCATTGGTCGGATGAAAGGTCGTTCTGACGTGACCCCTAATGGGATGTCTTCAGAACTTTGTTTAGCGGTAGCGAGAACTAAGGTCTGATTTTAATGAGATTGACATATCAACTAATTGAAACTTGTCATCACATTAGTAATTTGCATGATGATCAAAAATATTTTTGTATGATATTCTGTGATATTTCTTAGGCATTCGACAGGGTATGGCACAAAGGTATATTGCATAAGCTTCAACAATATGGTATAACTGGTAAATTATTAGCTTGGTGTCACAGTTATCTGTCAGCTCGTTGCCAAAGAGTATTTATTAATGGTAGTTTATCAAGTAAAAAATTCACCACAGCAGGGGTCCCACAGGGCTCTTTACTGAGGCCGTTCCTATTTCTAGTTTACATAAATGATATTACTGACCAGCTTCAAAATATTACTAGCTTATTAGCCCACGTTACATGTATAGGAACTTCATCTATTGATATGGTCGTGAATGAAGACGGACTATATCAAGACCTTCTCTCCCTTCATCAGTGGGCAAGCACATGGCTTGTAAACTTTAATATGTGCTTTTTAGTCACACACAGGTGTGGGATTATCCAACTATTTGTTATGCTTAGAGTGCCAATTAACATGTAGAAACTCACAAACACCT